GGAGGCTGCGGGAGGAGAGCTCCAAGAGGGAAGGGATGTATGTATGCATATGACTCATTCACTTGATCATACAGCAGAAACTAACACAAAATACAAAGCATTTATATTCCAATAAAAAATTAAGATTGCTGCCTCCATGTTCAATGATCTATACTCAAATCATATTGATACTCTGGTGTTATCATGAATTCTCATCTGCTCTTTCCCAAAAGTTCTATGGTCCCCTTTGCTCAAAAAGTCAAAAGATGCATTTTTGCACCAAGTTTTCAAAATATACTTTCTGATATGCTAGTTTCATAGGGACAGTAGGATGGCTGCTTAATGGCATAAATATTTTAGTTCTATTGAATTTTTCATATTAAATTTACAACTCACATGAATAATAGAAAGTAGCTCATATACACCATTCACAGTTACATTGTGCAATACTTTTTTAGAAATCTGTTATGTATTTGAAAGGTGTGGAGGAGTCTCAAAATAAAAAGCTATTTAAAATAAGCTCTTCCACTACAAATTCTGGTTTGGAAAGAGATATTTTACTCTAAGGTTTTCACAATGAGGTTTGATTTTCCCTATAAACTTTAATTTACAGGTCTATCAAACAGATTACTCAAAAATCAAGTGGTCTAAGTTGTCTCAAGTTTATTTAAATGGAGTTCATTTTTGTAAGAATAAAATAATGCGTTCAAAAGAGAAAGAGCTCTATGAGTCTGATGAAAGGATGCAGAGAGATGGATGTAGAGGCAGATAAATGGAGAGCAATTAGCTTGAGAAATAAAGGTCAGTCTTTCAATATGAGCATCCTTTCTCCCAACCTCATTGTAAAATGCTGCCAACTTTTAGTTTCCATAAACAGATACCACCATTAATGCTCAGCAGGTCAAACCTGTGAGAAAGCACTGTACTTTTCTTGGCCAACTTTAGCTGTGCCATGAAGTCAGTCAAAGTGAGTGAGAAAAACAATAACCATTAAATATGAAAGTGAAAAATGTATAAATATTTTTGAGGGGAAAAGTGTGGTTTTTTACTCAGCCTGGCTATCATTCATGTATGAAGGCAAGTAAAATTCATCTGAAGAATATGTTGGGTCACAAGTCATATGCCAATCATTTATCTTTTATTTTAGAATATAGCACTTTACCAAAATTTACAAACAATTTGCTGAAGCTCAATATTAAAAAAACAAATAATCCAATCAAAAAATAGGCAGAAGACAAGAATAGATATTTCTCCAGAGAAGACATACAGATGGTCAAGAGGCACATGAAAAGATGTTCAACATCACTAATTATTATAAGTGAAAAACAAATCAAAACTATAATGCTATATCACCTCACACTTGTCAGAATGACCTTCATCAAAGTCTACAAACAATAAATACAAGCAAGGGTGGGGACAAAAGGCAACTCTCCCATTCTGTCAGTGGGAATGTAAATTGGTGCAGCCACTATGGAAAACAGTATGAAGATTCCTTAAAAAACTAAAGATAGAGCTACCGTATAACCCAGCAATCCCACATATATGCCTGAGCATATATCACAAGAAAAACATGGTTCGAAAGGATATGTGCACTGCAATGTTCATTGAAGCACCATTTACAATAGCCAGGACATGAAAGCTACCTAAAAGTCCATCAAGAGATGAATGAATAAAGATGTGGTATAAATATATACATATATATATATATATATATATATATATATATATATGAATATAACTCAGTCATTAAAAAGAATGAAATAAGGCCATCTGTAGCAACATGGATGGACCTGGAGATTATCAAAATAAATGAAGTAAGTCAACAGAGAAAGACAAACATCATAAGATATCACTTATATGCAGAATGTTTAAAAATGATACAAACAAATATATACAAAACAGAAACAGACTAACAAACTTATGGTTACCGGGGGAAAAGGTAGAGAGAGGGACAGATTGGGAGATTGTCATGTGCACATTGCTATATTTAAAATGGATACCACTAAGGACCTACTGTATAGCATAGGGAACTCTGCCCAATACTTTGTAATAAACTAAATGGGAGAAGAATTTGAAAAAGAATAGACACGTTTATGTATAACTGAATCACTTTGCTGTACACCTGAAACTATTAATAACACAACATAGTTAATCAACTCTACAAACATATCATATATCATTTTACTTTAGCATAAAATAAAAACTAAATATATATATATGGCACTTTAAGATACAGACAGCCGTGAGCTGCAGGTTTTTCATAAATATTTATTGTCAAGTTAAGGAAGTTCTCTATTCCTACTTTGCTGTGAGTTTTTATCATGAACAACTATTGGGTGTGGTGAAATGCTTTTTCTATGCCAACTGATATGATCAAATCAATTTTCTTCTTTAACCTGATATCAGTACTACAAATGATAGTGACAGGTTTTTGAATTTTGAAACATCTTTCCATGTGGAATAAATCTCACTTAGTCATTAAGTGTAATTCTTTTAACACATCCTCACAATCTATTTTTGTTGAGGACTTTTATATCTACATTCACGAGAAATGTTGGTCTGTAATATCTTTTTCTGGTTTTGGTATGATGGAACAACTGGCTTCGTAGAATGAGTAAGGAGAGTTTTCTCTACCACTGTTTTCTGGAAGAGACTATGAATTCACCAATGAAACTATCTGCACTTCTTATTTTGGAACTGTACTATTAACTTATTTAATAGATATAGGACAATTCAGCTTATCTATTCCTCCTATTATGAGTTTTGGTAGTTTGTGTCTTTCAAGGAATTGGTCCATTTTAACTAAGTTATCGATTAGGTGGCTATCAAATCACCCAAAGTATTTCTTTACGTGCTTTTATGCTCATGGGATATGTAGTGATGGCCCTTCTTTAATTTCTGGTAATGGTAATTTGTGCCTTCTCCCTTTTTCTTGGTTATCCTGGCTAGAGGTTTGCTAACTTTAACATTCTTTTCCAAGAATCAGCTTTTGGGTTGCAGTGATTCTCTCTAATTTTTTTCTATTTCATTGATTTCTACTCTAAGGTTTATTACTTCTTGTCTTCAGCTTGCTTTGGTTTAAATTACTCTCCTTTGTCTAGTTGCCTAAGGTGAAAGCTTAGATATTTAGTTTCATATCTTTCTTCATTTCAAATATATGCATTTAATGATATACATTTCCTTTTAAGCACTGCTTTTACATCTCGGAAACTTGATATGTCATATTTAAATCTTCATTTAGTTCAAAATATTTTTATAATTTATCTTAAGACTTCTTCTTTGACCCGTAGGGTACTTAGAAATCTGTTAATTTCCAAATATTTGGGGATTTTTCTACCTATCTTCCTCTCATTGATTCCTGGCTTAACTCCATTTTGATCTGAGAACATACCTTGCAAGATTTATACTCTTTTAAAGCTTTTAAAGTGTGTTTTATGGCCAGAATATGATCTGTCTAGTGAATGTTTCACTTAATTTGAGAAGAATATGCATTCTGCTGCTGTTGAATGGAGCACCTTGAATTTCAAAACAAAGGTGCAATAAACCTAAACACTATTAGAAAACTATTCTGTTAAAAATAATATTACAATATATCCTAAACTTCCTAGATACCAGGTCTACAAGTAAAATCAGAGCAACAGATAGTACAAATTGAAAAGTGAATATTTCATTTGAACTTCCAGGATATGATTTTGTATACACATTTTCAGAAATAGTCACAATGAATTGCTCTCTGTCATACTTTAAATGATCTGCACTTCATAAAATTTTCCTCTTGCAATTTGATCCTAAACAGAAACTGAGCATACATACACATACATGAGTGTACATATATGAGATATATATATATACACACACACACATATATATACACATGTAATTTTTCTCTGATTATGATTACAGTTGAAAAGATTAAAATTGCTATGCCAATTTTTTTAAGAGGTAAAAAAATTCAATGTTTGCTAAATGTAAAGAAAACATTCCATTTTTAGTCTCCTAAGAGATAATTAAAAATACCATTTCATAAAAACTTCTTCTAAGGGTATTTAAAATTCTTCATTTATATGGCATCAGTTTCTAATTTAAAAATAATTAGAGAGAATAAAATGAGAGTAAATTACATATAAAAGGGGATAGAAGCACATACCACTCACTAATGTCTTCTATAGTAGTCTCTCTGAATATTATAGTCAATAAGACTCAAATCAGAATGTTTGCATTTTACCAGCCGCTTTCTGGATGACAAATTTGTTCACATAATTAAACAACATCTACCCAAGAGAATCTACAACAACTAAATAAAGGAAGAAAAGTAGCCTGAAAAAGTCAGCTATTCATGCTCTAATCAATATAACAAAATTCAATCAACTAATCAACTGTGCTCCAGTAGGACTTCACCAAACAAACCCACAAGCTGTTATACTTTTTGTTTCTAAGTCTCAGTATGATAGAAGTTGTTGAAATTCCCATATTGATTCAAAATTTATAATGCTCCATGAAATCTCTTCCTTATAGTTCATCTCAATTTCTCTTATAATAAGTTAACCACCTAATATTTCAATGTCCTATTTCCATTCAAACCATATGATTGAATAAAATTGATTCTGGACAATTAGTAGAATAAATATAAAGATAAAGAAAGGCCACGTAGTAAAATTTTGTTTTAAAAGTTCAACGCATGGATATTGTTAAAATAATAATACTATATTTAAATGGCAGGCTAATCCTTAAGTATGAAGGCGAGGGTGGGATGTTCTGAGAGAATAGCATTGAAACAAGTATACTATCAAGGGTGAAACAGATCACCAGCCCAGGTTGAATGCATGAGACAAGTGCTCGGGGCTGGTGCACTGGGAAGACCCAGAGGGATGGGATGGGGAGGGAGGTGGGAGGGGGGATCGGGATGGGGAACACATGTAAATCCATGGCTGATTCACATCAATGTATGCAAAAACCACTACAATATTGTAAAGTAATTAGCCTCCAACTAATAAAAATAAATTAAAAAAAAAGAAAATTACCTTTTGTTGAATCATCCTCTATTGGCTGTTTGAACAACGTAATATCCTTGAAAGTGCATAGGAACAAAACCACCTTTTCATGTTCGTTTCTTATTGGTGCAATTTGCATATAAAACCAAACAGGGGTTCCTGTAAAAGAGAGAAAGGACAACAGTGTGATGCAGCCACCACAATGATTTGGTCTCCTGCTTTCCCTCCTCCTTCAGCCACAAACTGCTATGCCAGGAATCAGCACCAAAACAACAGTATTTTAATTACTGAAAAGAATCAGTAAAATTTTCATTTTATATCAACTACTAGTTTCTCAAAAATTAATGAATATGTTTTTCAACTCAAAATATCAAAATTTGAAAATAAAGTGCAGGGCATCATTTCATAATACAGTGGAATATAGGCAGTCTTGCTATTTAAGTATTGTTAATGGGGCTTCCTGATGGCTCAGATGGTAAAGAATCGACCTGCAGTGAGGGAGGCCTGGGTCAGGACAATCCCCTGAGTCAGGAAGATCCCCTGCAGAAGGGAATGGCTACCCACTCGTGTGTTCTTGCCTAGAAATTTCCATGGACAGGGGAGTCTGGTGAGCTACAGTCTCTGGGGTCACAAAGAGTTGGACATGACTGAAGGACTAACACGTCCACGTTTCTTTCAGAGTCGCCTTTAGATCTGGGTCTCTACACCACTGCTGCTTTCACCAACTCCCTTCCATATTCTCACCAAGTGTGAGCATTCCCATGTGCTTCTCTGTGTTACATCGAGAAGTGTTTCCAGTCGACTTCAACATCAATACCTGATGCTTTGATAAGTATTTCTCTTGCAGGAACTTCTGAATTGCTGTTTCTACCTCAAGGTTCTCTCATCAGTCAAACAGACTTAAACTCTTTAGCTTTGACCACATCCCCACATCAGAGAGAGAGGATGTCAGCAACATTACAAGCCTGATGTACAGAAAGTTATACCTGAAGACTTTAAGGCAGTGTTAAAGAAAAAAATGCCCCCAGGCCTTGAAAGTCTCAGACCTCTTCATGAGACACTGCTTCCAACCTCCTTGCTCAAAGCATGAGCCTGGACTCTGTCACAATGATCTTCAAACAATAGCTCCTGCAGGCTTCAGAACACACAGTGTTTTAAAGTATTCAAGCCTTAGGATTTGGACAAATCAGAAATTGGCATTACATCAAATAATAAATATTTGAAGACACAAGAAATGCCTTCAAAGGAGTAATTACTCACTAAATGATAAAACACTGAGGGAATTTTCCATCAGAATCAAAATGATGCATTTTTCATTACAGTCTTTCCAAGCCACAGTGCAGTAAAGCCTCTCTGAATATTCTATTTTAAAGACATATGGTCTTTTGTCAGGTTTAGGATTTGGGGAGTGAGATGTGCAGCTGTTAATACTTAATCTTTAGAGGAAAGATTTAGCCTGTTAGTGACTTTCAATGAAAATCCATAAGAAGCATCTCCATATCTGTGGTCAAAAATTGTCCGGTGATAATATAACCATAAAGGGAAATTTGCCATTTACACAGAATAGGTGAGTTGACTACCGGATGCTAGAAGTCAAAGAATTCCAGAGAAGAGGTTTTTATAAATTTTCAGTTCTGACAACTAGGTCCTTTGCAACCCCAGGGAGCCTATAGAAGGACACAGTCTTTTCCAAAACGATTACAGGATGAGACAGGGACCTCAAAAACAATCCCACCATCTCCCAGAAAGGTTTGGTCTGTTTTCTGCTTCTTATTTTACACAGTGCGTCCATGAACTGTGAGTGATGTGCACAGTTTGACAAATCACCAGACCCAGACGCTCGCAGATACATGGCCTATGGCTGTTCCAACACAGTGAGCTTGAGGCAGTAGGTCATAAACAGAGAGAAAAGGGCATTAAAAATAAGTCGTTTTCCAAGGTCTGCTAGAAATCTAAACAGAAAGAGATGATGTTACAGCTCAGACCTTCCAAGGAAAACAGCAACTTTTCAAATTTCGGCATTGAGTCAGAGCTGTTGTTAAAATTGCTTTCAGAAATCACAGTATACTTTTTACAAGTTTAGTCACAGGCTCAGACTTCTCCAAGGAGGCTGAGTTTTGCTGCGTGGGTGGTGAATATCTATATTCTGGATTTGAGTTCAAAGTGATGGAAAGTCTGGGAGGGTTAGGTAGAGAGACCTGTAGCTGCTGGAAACTCAATGCAGTGCCCAGGCATTGATTATTTTGAGTTGTCCTAGCTATCGCAGTTCTACGTTTGTGCAAACAGAAAGATCCATTTTCAGTCATCCTCCCAGAGTCACTGCATTTTTTCGCAACAGTATAAGCAACCCGCTATAATCAGAGCAAAGGACCTAAAGAATTGAGGTTGCAAACTTAAATGTCAATCGTGACACATATTAAACCAGATATCTCAACCTCCCCATTTGCAAATGGTGTTTAGCTAATTATTTAATGGAAGTGTTGGGAGGACTTGGCATTCAGGCCAAGATTTTGGCATTCCCAAAACAGTTCTCTACAGACGTGTGAATTTTTCTAACATTAAAAAACATCATAAGAGCACAATTCTTTCAATTGATGTTCAGAAGCCTTTAGCTAACTATTTACAAGATTTTTTAAAGCTGCTTTTAAGTATAGTAGAACTCCATTATAGTGCATGGACAATATCTATTCTTCATATTAAGGAAAAAACTCAATGCAGATACTATCCAGAAATGACAGGAGTTTTAATATAGAGTGCTATGTGCCATAACTCCTACTGACTCCAAACAGACAACTATGCATATATAAGTTATCTGAAAAGAACCAAACAGGCCTGAACAAGGGCCAGACAATTATTACAAGCTATTAACGTAAAGCAAACTATCCAAACCACCTTCATAGGAAACTGTTAGAAATGAAATATTAAAGTTATTGCTAACATGATTTAAAAGATATAAACAAAACAAAATTTCCACAAGATATTTTTCAGACAATCAGAAACTATGGATCTGACTTTGAAGCTTTAAAATCAGAAGAAAAAAAAAGATTATTCTGTTCAAATCTCAGGGTAAAAATGACTTCAATGAAGTAAAAGTCACTCAGTCGTGTCCAACTCTCCACGAGCCCATGGACTATACAGTCCATGGAATTCTCCAGGTCAGAATACTGGAGTGGGTAGCCTTTCCCTTCTCCAGGGCATCTTCCCAACCCTGGGATCAAACCCAGGTCTCCCACATTGCAGGTGAATTCTTTACCAGCTGAGCCACAAGGGGAGCCCAAGAATACTGGAGTGGGTAGCCTATCTATTCTTCAGCGGATCTTCTCGACCCAGGAATCAAATCAGGGTCTCCTGCATTGGAGGCAGATTCTTTACCAACTGAGCTATCAGGGAAGCCCCTAAAATGATCTTAGTAATAAGGAATAATATTAAATCATTTGCTAAACTTGAGTTATATACTGAAGTCATTTAAGGGGTAACAACCCTGTATAAAAATGCAAGAGGGCATTCCCTGGTGGCCCAGTGGTTAGGACTCTACACTTCCACTGCAGGGACATGAGTCAATCCCTGGTGAAGGAATTAAGATCCTCCCTTGCGGTGAGGCAAGAAGAAAGAAAGAAAGGGAGTTTGGGCATACAAGTTTTGGCTACAAAATATCAGTATGTGTTTGGATCTAGTGAAAAAGTCCAGAAAGCACCTAGAAACTGGCTTTTCTCTTATAGAAGACAGAGCTAATTATTTAGAATGGATTGTTCTCTAGTTGACAAGCCAATAGACAGTTGGATATGATGTCAAAGAGAAATATATTTTCAGTCTTGATTCTATAATGAAAAATAAGATGACAGAACATTCCTTAGGTAAAACCACTGAAACTAATTCTTCCATTGCCAATAGCACCTGGTAATGGGAACTTCACTACTAATGTGAAGCAATGCCTATGGTTGTCATTATCCATATGATGGCCTATTAATAAAAAGAAAACCTAAATATTCAACAGAGAACAAATGTTTAAGGTACAATGGAGAGGATAAACTATGCTTCACAAAACCCAACCAGCACTAAACTTGGTACAAGCATTTCCTGTTGAAGCTAGAATGCTTCCTGAACTGGGGAAGAATTTAGTAACCATCAATTTTCACTAAAGATAATAATTGGCTTTGCTATCGTTTAACCATTAACACTAAATAAGCTGACTCATCTTATGCAGTGACTGTTCTTTAGGAAAAAAAAGGGGGGGCCCATTTGGAAATGCAGCAAAAAAAAAAAAAAATAAAGTAAGTGACTATTCATAAAAAACAAATTAGAAAGGAGACTTGGTTGATGAGTGTATTAGTTGGTTTTTTGTTTGTTCTTTGTTTCCTCCAAACTCTATTGGAGAGTCTCATCAAACTCACTCATAATTACCTAAGACCCATATCATGACGTATTATGTGATTATATAATGGACAACTGACCACTCATACCTCCCATCATTAGCCAACAGCACATACATTCAATACAAAGTTACCAGATGTGAATGGTACTTTCTGAAAGTAACAATTATTCTCACCAGTCTTCCCACAAAGCAGTCTGGTCTAGCAAACGACCATATTGGTAAAGATTCACCTCAGGTAGATACCATACACTCACATGTCATCTATGTATATGGTGAAAGATAACATACTCACTGATAACAATCCACTTTCCCTTTAACCATAAGAAGAAATGAACGAATTTCTCTTTTTTTTTCTTTTTTTATTTTTCATTTATTTTTATTAGTTGGAGGCTAATTACTTTACAATATTGTAGTGGTTTTTCTCAGTCATTTTTAGCTGCTGTCACATAACTATAGGATCTTTACCATGGGTATTAATCACAAAATAACCTGCCATCTGACACACAAAAGAAATCACTTTCAAAATGCATTATATTTTTCTTTCATTCCTCAAAAGGTTGTTTTTCATAAGCATTATTTATTAATTTTGCTATCTAATTTTTACAAATACCTCCTGCCAAGAGAAGCAATAAATCTTTTATATTCTCTCTACACTATAGCTTAGCTACCACTTACCAATATATAATATTAATAAGGAGTTGACACATCTTATTGATGACTCAGATACCTACTGTTTTTCTTGTACAAAAGAACTTCAAAGCAGTTTGACTCGTAGTTGTCAAAAGTCTGCCTGACTTTCTCAATGGTTTTTTTGTCAGTCAATTCTCCATACATAAAACTGGAAGAAAAAAAAAAAAAAAAACACCAAACAATCCATTTCAGTTTGGGGTTGCTTTTCAAATGCTACACAAAATCATATACTTGTCTTTTTTAAATTAAGAATTCAAAGTTAGTTACAAAATAATTGCTTCCACAAAATAAACTAAAATATTTAAACCATGTTTTAATCATGACTATTAAACTCTTGCTAGAAGCTATCTTTTTAAGTGATTTTGAACATATAGTGAGAAAGAATAAGAGAGAAAAACAGTCCTTACTTTACACCAGTCCAGTATGCATCAATTTTAGTTACTTAAACATTCCTGTTGTTAAATAATACCAGTTTCCCAACAACACAGTTCAAATTTTGGTTTTCATAGTATATTAACTATGATCGATACCACAAAGTATAAACTTTGCTGCTATATCATCAGTCTACAAGTCACGAATAAATAACAGATACACATAACAAACAATCAGTGATCAATTTCACTACTTGCTTTAAAGCCTGTCAGAATTACAGTGCATCCATTACTCAGCTCATGCATAGACAGCAAAGTGTGCGGTTGTGTTGCCTCCTTGTCTCTCAGTGGTACCCTCATGGGCCATTTTACAAAAATGGAGAAATAAAAGAAGGAATTCACCATCAAAGATTAAAGCCCACCAAAGAAATGTAAAGTGATCATGGTGGAGGTGAAATTCAAATTAAACATAAAAGAAGTTATTTCTTCTGAAAGAATGGTGGGATGTTGACACTGCTGTACTTGAGAGACTTGAAATATGCAGCCAGAGGAACCTAGTGAGGACAAACCTAGCAACATAAATCAGTAAAAGGATTGTTGTAAAAAAGACCAACGTTTCCAAGGGGACGTAATACCATTTAAAAAAAAAACAAAAAAACCCTTCACATTAAAGGAGTACCAGGAAGTAATTCACAGTACTGAAAGTAAAAGGATAAAGTTGAAGAGGATTCAAACTTAAAAGAAGTACACTGTTTGCTAAGAAGTAGAAAAAATGCTCTCTTCATATCATAAAATATATTACAAGAATGCAAGAATTGTTCAAATGACTTATGATAGGTTTTTGCAAAGAAATAAAACACTTTAATCTCAATGTTTCTAATGTTATAGATCACTAAGTAATATACTAAATAAATATCAGTGTTACTACTGTTTTCATTTCCCTGCACTTAAAACCAACAGGAAGAGATTTTTTTTTTTTTAATGCTTTGACAAACATTGTTAAAGGTCATGGAACAATCATACTTTTCATTGAATATTAAGATCACACTATGTGCTTTCAACTTATATGGTTTTTTCACATTCCTATACTACAATGAAATGGGAAGATTCAGTATTATATGCATTACTGAATTGGCATTCTCGTTACTTATGAGGATTTTTTTGAAATACATACAAGTAGACCCAACGGAAGGAAAATAAAGAAGAGAAATTGAAGGAAACATACCCTATTACTGTGGCTAGAGGAGCATAAAAACAGAGATCAAAGAGTAAACTTCCACATCTCACAAACATTTCCTAACATTTGAAATTATCTATTTTTTTAAGAGAACTTCACCAAAAGTCTGCAAATTAAACAGAACTCAGTCAAAGGAGTACAAGACTCTAAAACTAGTCTTGATGCTTTTGCAATCATAAGCTGTGCATATGGTTTCAAATACCTAGTTCTACTAGTTGCTATGATTGTCCACATCATTTCTTCCACCAGGAAAAATATGTGTGACCTGACAGTTTTTGAAACCTCAAGTATATGTTTGTCATTGCTTTTCTTAGAATTTTCAAGAAATTAACTTATTAGCCAGCAGTAAATCCAAGTGGGGTGGGACCCGAAGCCTATACAGCTCTAGAGGCCCTCTTTAAGGAGCAGAATATTAAATTTATAAAACAAAATTAATTACAGAGCCTTGAAAGCCATACACTCATGGAAAGGCATAAAGGTTAAAGTCTTTTATCTTCATAGGAAATCTGCTCCTGAATATCTCAATCTAGAAAGTTTACAACATGAAAAGCATAGTTTGTTAGCAAAAACCAGCAAAACTAGCAGGATTCAACAATGATACCATATCACAGCTAAAAATTACAGAGTGACGACCCATCTTATGGTAACACCAACCTGAGCAACTAAAATTCTAGAAACTAAGAAAGTACTGATAGATGAAGCTGAAAGTGTTAGTAGCTCAGTCGTGTCTGACTTTTTGTAACCCCGTGGACTGTAGCCCACCAGGCTCCTCTGTCCACGGAATTCTCCAGGCAAGAATACTGGAGTAGGTAGCCATTTCCTTCTCCAGGGGATCTTCTGGACCCTGGGATCAAATCCTGCATTGCAGGCAGGTTCTTTACTGTCTGAGCCATCAGAGGCCACTGATCGATGTGGCCAACCAAATGTTCTCCAATCTGTATCCTGAATTTTCAATTACTTTTATTTTTTATTAAAAAAGAATAGTTAATTGTCATTATAATATCAAATAAGCAAGAAAATCTTAGAATAGGATGACAGGTTCTAACTCCATAATCTTACAGCCAGACTAGCCCATGATGCTTCAGAGGGCAATGAAAAGTCACTGTTCCTGTCAAAGCCTGACTTAACCATAATGTGAGTTTTATGAAAATCTCCTGAGGGCGTCACAATTAAATTAGAATTTCTCAGTTAAAGTGAAGAAAGTCACCCTCCTTTCCTTTACCAAAACAAAACACTAGTTTAATACTGCTAATATTTTTTTATGGACAGGTAAACTTTTTATTGACTGGTATTTTTAATCTAAAGATTCTACTAAAGAGAAAACATTAAAACACACAAAATCAAAAAGTATGATATGAGTAATTAAACTACTAAATGCTTGTGGTCTTTAAGAAAAGAAAAAGCATTTACTCCTATTACTAAATGTCGGAGTCTATGATTCAATAAACCAAAACACAATATTCACAATTGGCCAACAAAAAAACATGAAAAAGAAATCATCTAAAATCTAACAAGGAACTAAAATAAAGTTGGTGAAAAATTAACTCTAATAGGATTAAAGATAAATTACAACTCAAAAAAATTCAAAGAAACCATCTTGGAAACTGATGTAACAGTAAGACTTAAGAAGAAATACAAGTTTGATTCAGCTAAAATTCTAAAGAGGTGAAAACAGCAGTTTCTCAAATAAACTCTGAAAATTCTATAACCCATTCCTCTTTAGCTCTCCCAATACTAAAATAGCCTGTTCTAAGAAAAACAGGGGCATTTTAAGAAAACAATCCCAGATTATTATACTCTGAATAATTTTTCAAAAATAACATTTTATATCTTATATTGTTTCACTCATATTTTTATTTTAAGCCTATTAAACTATGTATTTCCAGGGACAGAACACATATTTTAAGCAGTAAAATGCAACGGTTAAATAGTAAAAGGTATTTCAAAATGACCCAAAAGAATGTCTGAAATGTATTATCCGTTCTTCCAAGGCAAGTGTTCTAGAAAGTAATTCAAATTTTGAAAGTATTTCCAACCAGCACTGTCCAAATCAAAATGACTAAACCAGTGCTTCTGCATATACTATGGGTACTCTGGGTATGGCATATTTGCTTACTTGCTCAGTTTTCCTTATGTGTAAATGCTGAATTTCTTTACTGAGGTTTCCTGCAACATGACTCCAGATGACTGAAGCTCAATGCAGTCTTTGACTGGTTAATGGTATTTGAATGGAAACAAGATTTAGAAATGGTAATCATCAGACTTTAGAAACCACATATCTATAAAATAACTTTTTACAGTTTTTATGTATCTTATTGACTATCCTCCAGGAATATATAATGGGAATACTAAAAAACTATAGAACTTCAAATTACTCTATTGAATCACCAAACTACCCTTCAGTAATGATAAATGACTTCCGCAACTGCACTGTTGTCTTATTGGACAGAAAATAAAATTAGGTGCAGAGAGCAATCTATCCCTGCTGTAATATGGAGCAGCCATGATATAACAGAGGACCACTGCACTTAGAGGACCACTTATAAACTGTTTAATCCATGGCCAAGTTGTTTAACTTCTCTAACTCTTAGTTCTTTCATCCATGAAAAGTGAAAATGTTAATTGCTCAGTCACGTCCAACTCTTTGTGCCCCCATGGACTGTAGCCTACCAGACTCCTCTGTTCATGGAATTTGCCAGGCAAGAACACTGGAGTGGGTAGACATTCCTTTCTCCAGGGGATCTTCCCTATCCAGGAATCAAACTGGGATCTCCTTCCCTGCAAGCAGATTCTTTACCTTCTGAGCCACCAGAGATGATAATGTTAATATAACTCAGACAGTGAGACTTAAAAAGGATAATGTACATGAAGTTATAAATTATAATGTACTATACAATCACTGAATTATTACTGGAATGCTTCTCATGGGCGGGGTTAGAAGAGGGCCCTTCCAGCCCCAACACTACTCCCCTGATCCTTTACAATTTGAGGGCAAGAGCTGGTTCATTCCTGCTACTGGGCAGAATCACTGTGTCTGAAAGAGATACACACATCATTGTGTGTGTCTTCTTTCTTTGTGAGCCCATGACATTGAGGTATAGATTCACCCACAGCTGGATACTTTGGCCACTTATCTTGCCATACAACTAACTTGAGGGAAGATCTGATCTTGGGAGTAAGGGAGATTTCCTGAAGGCTAGCTTGGGCCATACCCAGCTTGCCTGAGCATTTGGCAGTGTATCTTTCATGTACATCCTAACCCAGAAACTTCTAGGGACCAGTGGCTTTGCTTTATAGCAAGATTGACTTATTTTGGGATCCCTTGTTCTGCCATCATAATCTCACAAATGAGCCTCATTATGATACCAGAAAGGAAGGATGGCTGCCATGTTGACAGACTTTCATGGGAGAAAGCAGAGTGCACACTGGGAAAACACATAAGCTAATCATAGATACTGCCTATCTATCCTAACCTGCTAATGGTCAACAATGTGAACTCACTGTATAGCTCAGGGAACCCTACTCAGGGCACTGTGGTGA